CAGTATACTTCGTTCAGTTGCATGCTTACTACCGAATATACAATCTATGTTAATTCAATCTGATCGTTAATCTATTTATGTATTTAATTTAATTAGTTTTTAGGATAGCTCAGAGATGACCGCCAGATATCTCCATGCCCCATACATACAACACAACAAATTTTCGTTCAACAGAATCTTTCATGTAGTTAACTGTATTAAAGTAAATTTACCTATTAAAGGTAAATTTTATCTAGGCCATCATAGGCTTTTATTAATTAATTGTAAAGCAGTTATGAGTATCTTAAAGTTTAATATTTACTAGCTTTAACTCAGTTGAAAATTAAAATATCGGGTAAAGCCTAAGTGATGCATTAGATAAATTCTTACCTTTAGACTTTGATCAGTAAATTTAGGCCCTCAATATTAAAGCTAACAACATGAAATAGATTCTGTTGAACGAAAATTGATCATGTTTGTATGTAAGACGGAGATACACGTGAGGGGTCGATAACCTTTGAAGTATGCCAGGAAATATAAAAATACGAAAATTGTATTAAAATTTTGATATTATTAATTATTATTATTATTATGATTATGTTCAGCTTTAAATAATTCTGATTTTAAGCCTGGTTGAATAAAAATAAAAATAATCTATATGCCTAAAAATAATTTAAATGTGTATATGGCTATCATGTATTGTATAGATTATATGAAATCCGGCATACGCTGTGCGACGAAAATCGGCAACAGCTCCAAATTCTGAAATCGGCAATTTGATTTCTTATTTCTAAATTAACATTCTTATTCTTAAATCGCATGAATTCGGTAACATATTATGTATAATTACAAATAATGGTAATCAATATTATACGTTACCACACTATATATCTTTAACATGACGTTAGTCGCGCCGCGTATTTTCGATCGCGTTTAATTTTTCTAATGTCACTCATATGTCACTGTATTAAGGATTCTGAGCACTATGACTGAGGAGCGGAACAGTTTGACTGCTACAAAGACTTTCTCTAATCCCTGCACTATTCAACCAAATGAATGTTCTTTACAGGATCTTGTTCGATTAGGGTCAGTACTAGGATCGAATAAGGATATCGACGTTACCACATCGAATCGCACATCAAATAATTTACATGCAGGAAAAGAGTCTATAATTCGGCGTGCCGCCTACGATTGCCTATTATGTATAAATATAATAAATATAACGATTAGATGTATCTACACTAATATTATAATTTTATGACTTTCAATTTTTACTTTTGATACATAATTTTTATTACAGTGATTTTATTATATTTCAACTATTTATATAATGTAATGAATACAACACATTCATTCATATTTAGTATTATATTTTATATTTTTCTAAGACGGGTTTGCCGATTTCACGCAATGACAGTATTAAGTACTTTAAGTTGCCGATTTCGTATATAATAGGCAATTTCATAAATTCAGCGTAACGTATACATACATTCAAAACAGTAATCGGACATCGGTTATATAATAACATAAACTAACCTTCCACTTATTAGTCTAAGATCACATGAAGCATACAGTATGATGCTCTAACAATAAGACAAATTAAATTATTTCTGATATTAATTATAAAATCTCGAATATTCTAAAACTAAAAAACCTATCAACATAATAAAAATAATATAATTATGAATTGTAAAAAACTCCGTGATCCAAATTTAACACAGTATTGTAAAAATAATTTTCTTCTAATCTAGCAATCCAACATAACAATAAAATAGAATAACAAAAAAATAAATACAACGAACTAGAAAAATGTTAATTGAAATCTGAAGATAAACAAACAAACTAAATGGACAAAAAAAAAAAAAAACAAAATCGATCAATTAAAAACAAAAACAAATATTGATCTCGAATATACCACATACCAAAATTTACAAAATATATACAAATACTATGAACCTTAGTTAATAGACGAAGAAACAGTTTTGCGAGTGGCGTATACTCACTTGACCGTTTTTGTCGCACATGGATTGGTGACCGCCGTCCACGAATGCCCGCAACAACGATACGCAAGCGGTTAACGAGTAGTCCGCGATGAAGCTGTCCGCGTGAATTCCTTCGGTGCGCGCCAGGTACGCCCTCGGGTAGTGGTCGTCAAATTCGGATCTCCCTGCTAGGGCGCGGCCACACAGCTTCAAAGGAGCATTGTCGTCCCTCGGGAACCGGTTGACTACAACGTCCGGGCGCAGCGTCATCCAGTTAACGCCATCTCTGCGCGCGTCCGTCCACATCAGACCAGACTCGTAACGTTTGACGACCCCTTTAACACGCTCCACGTTATTATGCAGCGATATCACCTCGGCAGCGGTATCTATACACAGTATTCATATTATAAATTGCATACAAACCGATTCAGTTGAATACAAAAATGGCTATAATCAGCCATCGTCAATAAATGCAGTAGTCACTACAGTGGCTGCAGCCCATCCCAAATGCTCATAGATACTTGATAGTATATGAGTATATGAGTTAATAAATATTAATTTATAACACAAGAAATATTTATAGATTGACATCATCTACTGCTATGGCGATTTGAAAAAATAAACATAATATGACATTTTGTAGAATTCAATTTTCCAAGACTTAACGGCAGGACTAATAGTTCATTATTTGTGCAAATATATATACAATCGATCCAAACAATGTTGTCAGATTGTACTATTTCAAGTGACATCAAATGCAATTAAGGTGACAGGATCTAACATAATATGACATTCTATTTTACATATATTTGTATATTCTAAGTTCCAAACATATTTGACTTAACTTGGCATAATCTTTTTTTTTTTTTTTTAATTTAAATTGTTTAACTATGATACTATGATATAAGTGGGTACCAATTTTTTTTAATACCTATAAAAAAAAAAGTTTTGTTTGAAAACTTTAAAAATACTATCTACATTTTAAAAGTATAATCAAACATTGTTTGTTGATTAAATTATTATAAAGAATGGTTAACTCAAATAAAAACATAATACAAATTTATATCAAATATTCTATTATAGTTTTTAGTAATTGTAATAATTATTATTTAAATACAAGTCATAGTGCTATAACATTATAATAAGAAAAAAATATAAGAAAAATTACAGTTATTACAATATATAGTTTTTAAATAAAATTAAATATTGTCTTCCATGTGACCTCGCTTAACTTGAAACTACGTCAAATAGTACAAACTTCATGGCCTATAAAATTATATTGATTCAGGGACGTAAATTTACGGCTGCCCATAACAAGTAAATTTAATTATAATATAATCTAGTATAGGTAGTAAAATTAATTGTTTATTGTTCATCGAAAAGAAAAAAAGTGTAATACTGAATAAAAATAGAAATACATACAGAATATTATTTTCAAAATTTTAGACTGAAATAGTTATTTTTTGTTAATGCTAATAAAACACTTTGAGACAGTTCCCCGTAAGCTAGCATAATATATTAACATGCATTTAATTTTTTCAATATTTGGTAAATTAAGTATAAAATGCTGATACAATATTATTGTGTTTCAACTATAGAATGAATAAGTTACGTAAGCAATAACCAAACATAGAAACATATTATCAAAGATAGACAAAAAATAGCAATAGAAGCAAAAATATGAATGAAGTAGAATTTTATGTTATAGCCTAAACAACAAGTTGTTTTTTTATTATTATGTTGTCACTACTAGAGCAAAATATTCGCGCAGAACCCTCCGGTGTCCAAAATTTAAAATACTTTATTGGTAGTTTTTAGTTAAATTCGTTTTTACGTGACCAATCAACTCTATTTTAATTTGTAGAAATAAATTTGTTACACTCTTATTCATCAAGAGCCAAAACGTTTGTAGATAGTTATACGGATACCTTATATTATGCGTAAGTGTAAAACAAAATTTAATCAAACTTAATTTCTTCTAAAAGTAACCAAAAAATATTTAAATATATAACATTCACAACTATTTTATACTTATACATTAATTTATTTAACATACTAGATAGCTTAATTTATTTATCATACATATTAGCAAAATCAGAATAAAATTAATTTAATTTAAAAAAAGAAGGATAGTAGGTAATCGGTTATCAATACAGTAGGATTCGAGTATATTTTCTTATTAAATAACTTGCTGAAATGGACAAGTTAAATTTGAATTCAATTATAAATCTTTATACACTCTAAAAACAATTTTGAGTGGCGACGATTTATGAGTCTATTATCATAAAACTAAATGCGTTTATACTACCCTAATATAATATGAACTATAAATTAGCAATAACATAAAATTAATCTAAATATTTTTATACATATAATAATATACATAAAAGTTTTTACTTCCCACACAAATATTTTTAAATCGCAACAAAATAATTAAAATCGTTATTTTTTACATAAATATTGAATTTCAGTCAGATTTAAACTTCAAATGTGATATTTTTAAAATCTGTATTATTTTACATAAAAAATATAAAATAAAAATGAATTTATTAATTCTCTTTAATAAATATCTAAACTAAAAACCATAGTTATATAGTTATATATTATAGTATAATATGACATTATTGTACTTAAAATATTAATCGGTAAAATAAAAAAATGTTTGCAGATTAAATATCGATCAAATATGGAATACCTAACTTTTACCATACTTTCATCTATACTGGTTATAATTATAGTGATATTAATACTTAAAAGCAGACGTGATAGAATATTAGCCAATCGAATACCAGGGCCAAATGGATGGTTTCTTATTGGTATGTTACCGTTGTTCTTACAAGAACCAGAAAAATTAATCAAAAATTTACTAAGAGAATACCGAATGTAAGTTTAAGTTTTTAATAGTTTTTAAAACATTGATTCTATTATTTTTATACATATTTTTTATCGTACCCTTCATATGAAACCACAAATATAATAATGTATGATTTACAATTACTATAAACGTTAAACATTCACGTAACCAAAATTAAAAAATAGGCTATCTTGATTGACATGTATGTATATGTAGGTACTATGTATGTATAATTTTTTGATATTTTTTAAATTTATTTTAGGTATGAAAAATTTATAATTAAATTCTGGCTTTTTAATAATTTATATATTGTACTTACGAGACTTGAAGATATAAAATTAGTTCTTAGCAATCCAAAATGTTTAAGAAAATCGAAAGATTATATGGTTTTACAAGAATCCATCATGGGCCAAGGAATATTTTCCATTGACGACATTGAAAAATGGAAAAATAACAGGTAAATTATTATATATTTGAAATACTACGTGATAATTGAATTTACTAATTAGTTAAAAATAGAAAATTAATAGAAAATTAACGTTTAACCAAGTTATTCAGAGTTGAACAATACGGCAGAAAATAATATACATTTTTTTATCTGTATTATTTAAGAAAAATAGTGATTAGAGGTTTTAGTTTTTCGTCAATAAATTCATTTATACCAATATTTTACCAAGAAGCAAACGTACTTGCCGAAATACTTCAAGAAAAGTGTATCTTAAAATCAAATGAATGTAATATTAGTGGTCCTGTTAGTATGGCCACAATGGAAATGATCGGAAAAACAGCTTTAGGTGTAACATTTAATGCTCAAACAGGCGGCTGCAATCAATTTGTTGAACATCTACAAACTGCAATGCATGTATGTTAATTATATTTTATCAGATACTTATTCAATTATTCATACAACATCAATAAGCTTATATCATTAAATAATTCACCACTTATTTTAGGCATGGGAGTATAGAATTACACACCCGTGGTACTTAAACAACACATTATTTCGATTTTCATCAGTGAAACGTAAACACGATCAAAGTCAAAAAATCATAAACGAATTTACAGATGAAATCATAAAAAAAAAAATTATTGAATTTACCCAAAAAATAGATAATATTGATATAAAAATAGAAAAAGAAGATGAAGACTGTTGCCCAAAACCAAAAACCGTTTTAGAAATTCTTTTAAGAAGCTCTCATAAAATGGACCACAAACAAATACGAGACGAAATTGTTACAGTTATGATTGGTAAATATTAGAATACCTAATAATAGTTAATCCAAATTTTTTTTTGTTATTGTTCCAATGAAATTAAACATCGAGAAATATTTTAAATTAATTAGCTATCTAAGTCTAACCTAATCACTTTCATAAATTTTAAAATTTCAAATATTTTTTCATTTTTATGCCATTATGTATTAAAGAAAAATATAAACCTATAAATATAATTATTAATTATATAGATATATTATTTATACAATAACTAATATAATAATTTGTTATTATACTTTCTATTACTTATTTAATCTAAAATTAAATTATATGAAATAACATTAATATTTCAGGAGGACAAGAAACAACCACAATGGCGATTACTTGTATTATTTTCATGTTAGCTCATCATCAGGACGTACAAAATAAGGCACATACTATACTTTACTTATCAATATTTGCATTATGTATAATTAAACTCCGTTAATTTAATTGAGTTACAGGTATTTGAAGAATTACAATCAATATTTTTAAATGGAGATCATAATAGAACACCTACTTATAGAGATTTTCAACAAATGAAATACGTCGAAATGGTAATCAAAGAGACATTGCGACTTTTCCCTCCATTGCCATTTCTCGGCAGAAGATTAAATGAAGATATAAAAATAGGAGAATACATGTGCCCAGCTGGTAATTTTAAAACGAACATATATTTACAGTGTATTAAAAAATGTGAATTACAAATTTTAAGGTGCTGCGCTAATTATTTGCCCAATATTTTTACAATCGAGTCCATTGTATTATACAGATTCAGAAAAGTTTAACCCGGATAACTTCTTGCCCGACGTTTGTGGTAGTCGACATTCGTATGCATATATTCCATTCGGTGCAGGGTTTAGAAATTGTATCGGGATCAAATATGCTATGCTTCAAATAAAAACTGTAATTTCCACACTAGTGAGAAAAATAAAATTTTTCCCGTCTGACAGATGTCCTACACCAGAAGACCTAAGATTAATGTTTTTAATGACACTTAAATTAGTTGATGGTTGCTACGTTAAAGTCGAACCACGAACGTGACTAGCATTTAGTCATTGAAAGATACATTCATTAAACCACTCCAAATGCTTCGATTTAAATTAATAGGTACTCTATATAGAACTAAATTAAGTAATATTATAACAATTAATTTTCTGTTATTACATTATATTAAAACAGTATTTCAATTTTAAACTATAATATTTAACGATTTACATTTATCTAGTACAAATTCTATTTAAATTATTTTTTATATGTAAGTTGAATAATTTCTATATCACTAATATAATAATAATTAAGCAAATATATTTAAATATTTAAATTAATTAAAAAATCTTTCTCTTTCTCTTTTTTTTAAATATGTATACATTTTTTGTCCTTATAGTATCAAAGAAAAATCTTATCCCTTTATTATTTTAAACTCTACAATTATGAGTACGTGCAGTGTAGCTTATATTATTTCTGGCGTCATAGTGCATATTATGTGTTATATTTTCATATTACAAGAACTTTTAACTATTCAATCAAAGCAAATAGGTTAGTTTACTTAAAACCTACCTATTTAAATTATAATTAACAACAATGAGCAATAAAAATGTGATCGCTAACAATTTTAAATAAATGCAGATTTTTTCGGTCTAATTAAATCTATAATATTGTTTAGTACTTGTTCGGCAGTATTCATATATATAAGATAATTAAGTGTTCGATTAAAATTAAATGGTTTGTTCGTAATTTTTGTATCAGAATAATTTATTTAAATCGTTAAACATTAATAAAAACGGGAGCACACGAATTGCGCCTCAAAAAATCCAGGATGTAATTTGTGTATTTTAATCAGGGGTTCTTAAATAACTAACAAAAATAAATAAATAACAATTATAAATAAAATCACAAGTCAATTAAAATTATTTATCAAATTTAATAAAAAATTATATAAACGTTAAATCACTTAAATTTAAATATAATCAAAATCAATATAGTCCATAATATAATATATAAATAAATAACAATTATAACATAATATCAGAGCCCAGACTCCCTTATAATTAATACACCACGGAGAACCCCTGAAAATAAAATAAAATTTCTGCTACCTAACCAATTTAGTAGGACGCAATTCGTGTAGACCTTTTTCACGAGACGCAATTCAGGTGCCCCGATAGAAACCACACATTTTTTAAGTTGGTTTTTGACGAAAAGTATTATCTATTTTCTGTTAACTTTGAACTATTTATATATTATAATATTGAAGGTACTGCTAAACCAAAATATAATACTTAGTTCAATGTTTAATTCTATAATACGCATTCTGTGAATTCAGTTCAGCGAAGAGGTACTCACCGTTCCGATTGAAACTGTTGTCATCGGTCGTAATTTTGCCAATCCAGCCATTCTTGATCAACTTCATCTGAATCTCGGCTGGCATTTTGGCCACCGCAGTAAATATGTGTTTTTTTCGGATCGCCTGATCCAAAGTGCCAACCGAGTTCTTGCCGTTACCTCGACACAACTTTCTGCTAGACGACTTAACTTTCGCGTCCTTAGACGACTTTTCAACGCCAACGCTCAACGTGTTCGTGCTAACGATCTTCACGGTTTTCGGGCCACTGAGTCTGACTGATTCGATCTTATGCTTCCGTTTAGCCGTCCCACTGCACGACGACAAATTATCACTAACGCCTTTTTTAGATCTCTTGCCACCGTTTTCTTTAAGTACATCGTTGTTGTTACAGGCCATCGGTATGTTTTCAAATCACGAATTATGTGTTAGGTGTTGAAATTTGTAAATAAATGTAGTGTTTACAGTTATAAATTTTGATACGTAAAGTATGAAATAATAGTACGTAGTTAACTACGACAAAAAATATGTGTTGTGTTCAGCCGTAAATATGGCAACGATAATACATAGAAAAAGGATAAAAGTATAAGCAACCGTTCTACTGAACATTAAGCGTCGACTCTACCGAATGATTGAGTAAGTCGCTATATTATAATGTATGTATGAAATTTGAATTCAATGATAAATCATTGTAAACAATTTTAAGTGATGACAGTCTGTCACCCTATAATATTATCCGAGCATATTTTATATGATATATTTATACTGTGGATGTGTAACATATAAGCTATACATTTTAATATAAATATTTGTTAGAATGTTTTTATTAATATTCAAAGAGAATTATCGAGGTATTCAATACTTACTAATGAGCGTCTAGGTACTACTTTATCTGAACTGTCAATATACCATATTATATGTGTTGCAATATTGCAAATCCACAATAGTTAAACACCTATAATGTATATCAAAAAGTTAAATCGGTAGATATATCACTATGTCAAATATTTAATAACCTAACCTATCACACTCTTGTGATTTTTTTTTAAACTCATGTATACCTATATGGTTATTTGACAAAACTAATAAGGACATCAAAATAAACCAAATATATGATAAGAACATAATGGAAGCTGTGTCCAAATCTGTGTTTAAATTTAATATTCAATACCTATTAGTTTTTCCAAACAAAATATCAACAAACGTAAAAATAAGGTTTTTATTTTTTAATTTTTGCATTTTATTATATTATTATTTATATTGTGTTAAATTAATTTATACCTAATACAAATAATATTTTGAAATATTAAAAATCGCTTCTTTTAAAACATATAATTAAATATTAATGAATCAAAATCAATTTTCAAAATTAAAATCTATTCGACCTTTGTGACTTACCTAAATTCAAAAGTTTTTTCAGATGATATAATATTTTTAGGTATTCGTTTTGAGTGAATTTAAAATAGTGATCATTGTATTCGCGCCTCACTTCCATATACAGAAATACACCGATCAAAACCGTTCATACATTCCTGTAATATAATTTTCAGATTAAATTCAAACACACTAATGTTCATTTACATGTTACAAACTAATACTTAAGTCACCAAAACATTGTCATATCGATTAATTTGTAAATTATTACACAATAATTGTATTTGGCTATTAAAAGAAATTCCTTAATATTTCTAGTTTATGCAATTTATCAAACTCTACGGTATCAACCAATTCCTTATCAGCGGTAACAAGTTATAGCTTTGGAAAATTCCAAATAATTGTAAAATTAATGTACCTATTTAATTAAATCATTCTTTCCACGACATAAACAATAACAAAAATCAATATTTTATGGTTCTTAATAATAAATTATTTATATATCATAAACAAACACAAAATAATTTAAATTGTAAGCATTTTGAAAATTACAAGTACCTAATACCTTTTACAATCATCCGTTTAACGACATCTCACTTTGCAGTTCATTCAGAAATATTTAACTTGTAACTTAAAAATACTATTAAAAGCTACAGGTAGGTACTTTATAGTATTTATACCAATTATTAGTTTATTAGTTGAAAATTCGTTTTTAATGTGTTTATATCTATTTACGAATATAAGGATTTTGTATATATATTTTTATTATAATATAAGGATATTTATATATAAATAAATTTAAAAAAAAACATTAAATAGCATTTGACTATAACAACTATAAATGATAATCAACAATCAAATTAACAAATCTAGATACCTTTCTACTACTTGATTATATTGTTAATATATAAATTAAATTAATGTTGATTTGTTTAGTTTAATACTTACAATGTCTGAAAAATCGCCACCCACCAAAAAATTTAAGAAAACAAGTCCTGAAGTTAGCACTTCCAAAACTGATAATTTTTTAAAAGATATAGAAGCCGAGCGTAAGAAAGTAAGATAAATCTTTAGTTAATTAATACATATTTTATAACAAAATGTATTTTTATAGACAGCTCCTTCTATAATGGAATTCAAATTTAATAAGAAACGCGTGCGTGTGTTATCTGAACTAAAAGAAGTCCCTGAATGGGCCGAAGGAATTATTTATTGGACATTCAGAGATGAACGTATTCATGGTAAATTAAATATTAAATATTATTTCATAATATCTATTATATTATTTAATTAAATTTTGTTCAGATAATTGGGCATTGCTATATGCACAAAAATTAGCAATCAAAAACAAAGTTTCATTACACATCACATTTTGTAGATTGAAACAATTCTTAAACTGTAGCTTACGACATTATATACATATATTTCAAGGTAAGAATAAATATATTTTATTTGAATTTAAAACAAACTAGTTTCTAATGTATAATATTTAAAATTATTTTCATTAAATTCATCCTACATGTATTTATTTATTTATTTTTTTTTTTTTATATACCTAAAAATTTACCTAATAAAATTATATAAATATAATATAATAATAGATAAAAAAAAATCTATCACACTTATTAATGCCAAAATCTATGCACAATGTTCTCTTTTTATTTCCATATTCACTGATTGAATGTTAGTGCATTACTTTCTTATTATATTTAATAATAAAATAATATTCAATATCAATCATAACCAAATCATAAATAATAAGAGAATGTAGTTGTTCTTAGAAACATTGGCATTAATACTTATAACACAATATTATTTTATTATTGAGAATGACTATTTTGTTACAGTGAATGAACTTACTGATATATGGGTTATAAAGTAAAGCAACCATTATAAAGAGTATTTACTGTTTTTGATTTTTGTTAGTATTTATTATAATTATATGGTATTAGTGTATTAGTCCATAAATATTTAACTAAATTTACTAAGTTTATCATTAAATCATAGGCATGCACAGAGTTCCCGATCAGGTGCAGCACATATTGTTTCTATTTTGTTGATGTTTGTTGATAACTTTTATTTTAAGGAACATTTTTAGCCAATAGGTACATTGTATATTTGTCAACACCATAAGTGATTATCTATTTTATCATTGTTTTAATTTTAAACATAAAGAATATAATCATATCATAAACACGCAGAAAAATTAAAAAAAAATTTGGCATTATAGAAAGAGCAGATACAGCCTAGGCTGCGTGTGCTGCACCCGTGCACATGCCAATGCATTAAATGATGAAATTAGTTAAGTTGTAGTCATACTTTTAATTAAGTGTTGTAAGTTTTAACTATACTGTTTCTTTAACAAAAAATTGAAATATTACATCATGTATTAATTTTTTTTTTTCTTAATAGGCTTGGAAGAATTAGAAACTGAGTGTAAAGAATTAGATATTCAATTTCATTTCTTAATTGGTTGTGCAGCAGACATACTACCAGAGTTTGTAAAGAAACATAAACTGGGAGCAATTGTTGTAGATTTCATGCCTGTACGAGAACATTTGTTATGGGCTCAACAATTAGCTGAACGTATTGGATCTGAAGTACCAGTAATACAGGTTGATGCTCATAATATTGTTCCTTGTTGGGAGGCATCTGATAAACAAGAATATTCTGCAAGAACTATACGAAACAAAATCAATAACAAATTACCAGAGTTTTTGACGGAATTCCCACCAGTGATCAAACATCCATATCAAAGTAAATTTAAAGCTCAGGTATGTAATAGAATTAATAAGATTAATTACCTATTTCAAATAAAATAAATTTAAATTTATTTTATGTTTTAAATTAAATACTATTAGCCAACAAATTGGGATGAAGCTGGTAAAACCCTAGAAGTAGACCGTAGTGTTGTATCAGTGCCGGGTCTGAAGGCTGGTTTCAAAGCTGGTATGAGTGAATTGGAAAATTTTATAAAAAAGAGATTGCAAAAATATTCTATTGATCGAAACAATCCAGTAAAAGATGGTCTTAGCAAATTGTCACCTTGGTTGCATTTTGGTAAGAATAGACATATTTAACATATAATGTTAAATATTTTATTTTTGTTTATATGTTAATCATTTTCAGGTCAAATATCAGCTCAAAGATGTATCTTAGAAGTTAGTAAACTATCAAAAAAGTACCCAGAGAGCGTAGCAGCTTATAGAGAAGAAGCAATTATTCGACGAGAACTCTCTGACAACTTCTGTTTCTACAACCCAAAGTATGATAAGGTTGATGGTGCACCAAATTGGGCTCAAATCACCTTAAACGATCATAGGTAATTTTTACATAACACTGCTTTCTGTCATGAATCATAATGAGTATATTTTATTTTTTAGAAAAGATAAACGAATGTTTGTGTATACAAGAGAAGAGTTGGAGAATTCACGCACGCATGATGATCTGTGGAATTCTGCTCAGTTACAAATGGTAAAGGAAGGCAAAATGCATGGTTTCCTACGCATGTACTGGGCAAAAAAAATATTGGAATGGACTGATACTCCAGAAAGAGCATTGGCTGATGCAATTTATCTCAATGACAAGTATAGCATGGATGGTCGCGACCCAAGTGGGTTTGTTGGATGTATGTGGTCAATATGTGGTATTCATGATCAAGGGTGGCGAGAACGAGACATTTTTGGAAAAATTAGATATATGAACTATGCAGGATGCAAGAAAAAGTTTGACATAAACGCTTTCATAGCTAGATATGGGGGCATGGTTCACAAGTATACTAAAAAATAAATATTAAAATGATGAATTGCATCAGGTTTTTTTAGTCGTTTTGAGTTTATATACCTCAATTTGAATGTTAACATCACAGTATTATTTTTTAATGTTTTAATATGCATTTTATAATTAAATTATTATAAATACTTAATAAATTACAATAATTTAATTGTATACAAAAAATGCTATTTTATTTTCACTACTAAGAAATCATAAATTTAAAAATATAACCTTTTCCTTATTTACTATACATTATTTATAACTGAGTTTT